TCTAATGTCTATAAGACCCTGTAGAATGTGATCAATCTTGTTTTATAGGAAGATTAATATAACAGTGATTATTTGGTTGATGATATGGCTCAGTAGTACTTAGTTCTGATGGGAAATACACTAAGAATCCAAAGGAGTAGGTCTGAGTGATGTGTCCATTCCTGCCTTGTATGGCTTGAAACAAGTATTGTAACCTGAGTGGCTTTCAGAGTCTTTATATGACCAATGGAGGTTGAAATCCTGCTATGGTGAGGATGAAATGGGTTGGTCCAGAACTAAGTAGACATCTAAGGTCTCCAGAGGCTGCATTGTGGGCCACTGCCATGCCTGGTGGGTGTGATCTAGAAAATACCTAGATTTCAGCTAGCATTGAGGCACTGAAGTGCTAAGTTATTAAATTATATATTATACTTAGATACAGTGAACCTCAGAGTGAGACAGGTAGTGAGTAGAAACAAGAGGACTGGAGTTCAACTGCTTGTCTTTGGGTCTTCTTTTAGTAGCTGCATGAACACAGTCCAATTCCTTCACCTTTCTGGGCTATGTTTTAGTAATGAAACCTACCAAATAGGATTGTTAAGAAGATTAAATTTTATATATAAAACTCGGAGAATATCATCATCACCTTGTTTGTCTTTTCCAAGTAGCCATGGCTGACCTTGCCCTCTGGATGGTTTGCTTGGTGAACATGTTTGTTAGAATTTTTGTTGTGTCCTCCCATCCCTGTAGGTCCAACTGTGATTCATGTCACCTACTTTAGGTTATGCAGCATGAGCTCAACCCTCCTGTCCTGTGTCTTTGAGCTCTGTCCCAGTCTCCTTTTTTCCATTTCCATTTGCTTTTCCTATTCCATTCCTCTTTTGAATATATTCTGTGTATCACCTACAAGTGTGTTCTGGAAAGGGGAGAAACTAAGCATAATTTCGCTTTCACATTCGATGCCATAATTCTATGAGTGCAACCCAAAGTCACATTATCTGCCTTGTTGCCTACATTATGCTCTTCAATCACGTTTAGTTTAGTACTGGTGACAGCTCTCCAAGTTAACCTCACCTACCTTTTTCTTTGTTAAAAGACTTTTTTTGGTCCTACAATTGAATATGGCTTACTATATGACAAACTTTGTAATTAACACTAAATATACTAACTGTACTTCTTAAGAGGTTTTGAGTTTCCTGGATGTCACACATGCTCATTTATGAACTGTAAAAACTGTTAACAGATCTGCAAAGTGGTGTGTATGATACCAGGGAAGGTCACTGATGATGGGGGAGAAGGAGAGAGTATGGGAGTGCGGATGTTGGGGTGGGGAAGCTGTCAGGGAAATAACCATTGGAGTAGGGAATGTTTACCTCGGCCACCAAGATGGTGGTGGTAGGTGGGGGGTGTGAACAGGGTGGGGGAGAGGAAGAACCCTTTAAGCAGAAGGAGCAACTTACAATGTGACATAAAGCAGCATTGTGCTTTGGGAATTAAGCCAAGATGAGTGGAGCCCAGAGAGCATGAGGAAGAGTTGGGGGGAGAGATGCTGACCAGGTAAGCAGGTAGCAGGTCCTGAGGGCTCTGTGTGCCATAGTAGGGGCTGGTAGTTAAGCCAATAGTTAACTAATCACCATTAAAGACCTTAGATCAGAGGGCCCTCCCTGGTAGTGCAGCTGGTTAAAGTGCAGTGCTATGAAGCTATCCACTGCAGCATGAGTTCCATCCCCAGCCAGGAAAGTGATCCACATGGCAAACAGACCTCTCCTGATCTGTCTGCTGCTCCCCTCAGCAGTGTATTTCAGTCAATCTGCCTGATCTACTACCCACTCTGTCTCAGATAAATCCTCTCCTCACCCCTTACACCTCTGGCCCATGCCCCAGCTCTTGTATGCGCAAATAAATAATCCTTTAAATAAAATGAAGATTTTTGATCACAGAGGGATGTGATTAAATATATGTTACATAAAAATCAGCATGCTGGTAGCCTCTATACTGTGACCTGTGAATTAGAGTGTGAGAATAGAGGTAGGGTGGCTGATGAAGAGGCAATTCTTGTCATAAAACAAAAAAATTATGAGATCATAAACAAGGCTTGACCTTGGGACTCGAAGGAAGGCAAATTTTGGAGAGGTTTATTGGGATATATTTGGAACACTTACTCAGGCACTTTGAATTGAGAGAGCCTAAGCACGTGATTGCTGGTCTGAGGCTGCAGGAAAAGGGGGGAGATGAGGCTCAGCCCCAGATATGACAGCTGAGATATTGTCTGAGATACTGTATTATATCATCTGAGATAATAATGTCATTTATCCCTGAGGAGAGCAGCAGATGGAGGACTCATTCAGAAGAAGCAAAAGGTTCCATTTTGGACCTTACCTTCTGAACACCTCTGGGATATCTAAATGGAGATGGCTCATAGGTGTTAAGTACTGTATCAGGAACTCAGGAGACAGTTTTGTGTGGAGAAGTAGACCTGTGAATCATCCATTTATAGAAGCTTGTTGAAACATGGAAATTCAGTCAATCAACCACAAGGGGACAAAGAGTGATCATGATGAGAATCCTAATATATTATAGAAACATGGAGAAAATGATTTTGGAGATATCTGCCAGGGAGCTGGCGAAAGCCCGGGAGAAAGGGGTGTAATGGAATTCATCACGGGGAAACTTGCAATGCTTGGAAAGTCATTTGTAATATTTAAGTGGTGATCGATATGGCTACAGAATATGTTTGCTTTGGTTGAGTGGAGAGGTGAACAGATGTCTCTGGAGGGTGGTGCAGTCATCCTTTTGGAAGAGTTCTGCCTAAGGCAGAGGCTTTTCTACCATTTGGGGTTAATTCCTTTTTCTTTCTTTATTTATTTAACATCATTTTTCATTTTGTGCATTTTTTCATCTCGATTGTAACTCCCATGGCCTCACCACCAATTCACCCCTGTGCCATCATGTGCTTTTTTTCACATTTGGGGTTAATTCTAGTAGCCTTTAATTGTTAGCATCTGACTGAGATTTGTGACTGTGTTTTAGTTGGAATGGAGATCAAACTTTCCTTTTTGTTTTGCCTTCTTTCTTTTTTTAGAGAAAAGAATGCTGGTAGAAATGATTTTTCTCTGCAATATTTAAACAGAAGTTACTTTAAAATTTTGAGTTAACCAAAAAATAGCATCTATAACAATACTGCTATTTATTTTTGAATTTTACTCTATTTGAATTTTTCTTGCCGTTGGCTAGGTTTCTTTAGAACCAAGCTAGGCATATTTATCTTAATGACCCCAGGGCCCAACTCAGAGTCCAGCCAGAGACATGCTCAATCAGTGCTTACTGTTGCCTTTATTGTTCACGATTGCATAGTTTCATTTCGAGAGCTTCCAAACTCTGTTGAATCTTTTCACCTTTCAACATCTCACGTCACTGAATTGTGTCAATTCATCTTTTGAATTTTATTAATGCTGCTCTTTTGAACTGCCAAAAGTTTAATACCTTACCCCCTCTGAGCGTTCCAATGAAATGAAAATTTATTTTAAGACTGTATATATGCTGCGACATTTGAGTGTAGGAATGGAAATGAAGCCAGGCTTACACAGACATCCAGGTTGAGACAGAAACCTGTCTGGGCACTCCTGCTGCTCTTCCACTTTCAGGAGGTCTCCTGTGTTTCTCTCCACAAACACCCCCCCTCCAACCCCCGCATTACCATATAGATAGAACCATCAAATGCATTTTTAACCTTTTTCACCTTGTCAGGAATTTTATGATACCATAATTAGAGTCATATTAATATAACATCTGTTCCACTACACCAACCATTTCCTTCTGTTGGTCAGAATTTAGCTCAAAGTTAGTTCTGATAGATTCCCCTCTGGGAGACAGAATTAGCATGAAGGAAGTCATGGACTCCATGCGACTTGGAGGTGATGATCAGCTGAAAGGTGTCCAAGATCACTGTTCTGTCTTACCTCCCAGCATCAGGACTGTTTCCCGGGTGGTTTATTATATCCTTCCAAAAAAAGTAATTCTGAGACCTTCATATTGAAGAAATTCTATGCTTTTTCCATTTGGATGGTGCTGTGTTTAGTGTTTGAAACATCTCAACAAGATATAAATTTTCTTGCTGCTGTTTGCTTATGGCATTCTTATCTATGACTATTGCTATGGGGTGGGAGGATTTAGTAAGTTATATTATATTCCGCTCCAGGCTGAGCTCTTTTCACTTTTCCAGAGCTCTCCAGATTTAATGCTTGTCATGTGCCAGCAGGTAGTGTAGCCAGCAAAGACATGTACTCCTTCTCACATGCACCAAAGTTTTTCCTGTTTGCTTCAGAGTAAGATTGGGATTCTTTTTTCAGAAGTTCTGCCATTTCTACCTATTATAAAGTTTTATAATTGAGTCTTTTAGAGTAGTCAGAAAGGTTTATAGAAGAAGTAAAAGATCTGCATGTACCACCCTATTTCTCTACTCTATATATTGCTTTTAAGCAGTACATACTAAAGTTTCCTTCTTTAGTTTTTCTATGTGATACTTTTTTTTTTGAAGATTTATTTATTTATTTATACAGAGCTGGGGTACAGGCCAGAGATGCGGAGGGTGAGAGGACTCACCAGGGGCAGAGTGGGGATCAGAACAGGCCGATCTACGAAGTACACTGCTGAGGGGAGCAGCGGGCAGGCCAGGAGAGGTCTGCTGTGCCATGTGGATCTCTCCCCGGGGCAGGCGGGGATTGAACTCATGAGGAAGTGACTTTAGCTTCTTAGTGCTGTGCTTTAACCCGCTGCGCCACCAGGGAGGGCCTGTGATACTTACTTTATGCTTAGGAGCTAAACTAGGTTTTCCCGAATGAAAAGGTTGTTTTATGTAATAGTTCACCAATATTTCAGAGTGGGAAGGAATCTGATTTCCTTTTTCACTGTCGGCTCTTAGAATATAAGTGGGTGATAAAGTTCATGACATGAGTTATTGTTTTGTTTCCTAAGTATTTTCTTTCCTGAAAATGTCCTGCCCTTTCTTTTATTTTATTCAGGGAATCAGCAGTCTCTTCAGTTCTTTAAAAGTGGTGCGTCTCTTGCGACTGGGTCGCGTCGCTAGGAAATTGGACCATTACCTGGAGTATGGAGCGGCTGTCCTCGTGCTCCTGGTGTGTGTGTTTGGTCTCGTTGCCCACTGGCTGGCTTGTATCTGGTACAGCATCGGGGACTACGAGGTCATCGACGAAGTCACGAACACCATCCAGATAGACAGCTGGCTCTACCAGCTGGCCCTGAGCATTGGGACTCCGTACCGATACAACACCAGTGCAGGGACCTGGGAAGGCGGCCCCAGCAAGGATTCACTGTACGTGTCCTCTCTCTACTTTACCATGACAAGCCTTACAACCATAGGATTTGGAAACATTGCTCCTACCACAGATGTGGAGAAGATGTTTTCGGTGGCCATGATGATGGTTGGCTGTAAGTACCTTCTGAAAAAGGTTTTATTTGATTTGCTTTATTGTGGCAGTTTTTCAGGCAGATGAAAGTGAAACCATTCTGTCTTCAGAAGGTGTTTAATCCATGTCACTTGCATTGGTTTAGTTTCTAGTTAGCCTGGGAAGAGAGAATTGCAAAAGAATACATTTTACTTTTTAGAAGATATCAACACAGGGACAATAGTGTGAATAGAGTGTTATGAAAATCAGAATGGGAACTCAGGGACTTAATTCTATTCACAGTGTTGTACCTGACATAGCTTTTTCCAAGGGAGAATAGCAAGTAGACAGGCAGCATCTGGCACAGTCCATTGGTTTTCTTGGCAATGCATTAAATTCTAAAAATGCAGACAGATCGGACGTGAGATACATAATTTAGAAAACATTTTACTTAATAAATGAATTACTGAATTCAGGATACAGGATGCAGTTTTATGCAGGTTTTTAAAATTAAAGCTGGTGAAGTGGTTTATAAATCTAAGGTCCATTATAAACACACTAGGTTAACCATAAATCTACTTGAGAGAATGTAAGGATTGGCAGATATAAGTCTGTTTGACAATGACAAGAATCTCTAGAATTTAGCCTGCATGTTTGGATATGAAGTATCTTGATGGTGTTCCTGTATATAGGGTGATCTTCAAAAGGGCACAAAAATACATGTCCTACTGTCAGATTGACACTGGATCATGTCAGAAAGCGTGAATACTAAGGAACTATATAGCAAACAACCTCAGTACCAGTCACCGTTATCCTATGCCCTTTTACCCTTTTCTTATGTATTTACCAGGTCCCAGTGTTATATTTACAGTTTTTCTTTCTCTTCAGAATGTAAACTCCATAGAGTAGAAGTTTTGCCTGTCTTGTGTTGTTCTTGTTTTATTTTTGGATTCTGTATACCCAACTTCTGAACAGTTTTTAATGCCATAATCAATCTAAATTTGTTTTGTGAATTAATGAATTAATGAACAGTTTTAAATGCTATAATCAATCTAAATTTGTTTTGTGAATTAATGAATTTGACCATTCCTTATGGTCATCATAAGGATCCACCCCATGAGGTCTTTTAAAAAAAAAAATTATTTCTTTATGCATACAAGAGCTGGAGTGTAGGCCAGAGGTGGTATGTGTGTGAGAGGATTCACCAGAGACAGAGAGGGAAGCAGAATAGGCAAAATGACTGAAATACACTGCTGAGGGGAGCAGTGGGTGAGACAGGAGAGGTCTACTGCTCCTAGGGTCAGCTGGGTGGGGATCAAACTCTTGCTGCAGTGGCTGCTGATAGCTTCATAGTGCTTTGACTTAACCACTTGCACGACTAGAGAGGCCTCTATTAGGCCTTTTCTGAAGATACACACCAGGAAAATGCACATTGAATTTGACCTGCTTCCTGTTTTTGAAAGCCAAGGTGACTCCTCTGTTGTCTGCCTTTGGGAGTGTGGTAGCTCCTTCAACTGCTATCTTCCAACCCAAAGTCTCTAAGATGCAAAAGGCTAGTCAGTGCAAGCACCAGCTATCTTTCTTTCCCGTATGGCATCTACCTTTTGAATCTACCTGTATTGGAAATTTTCAATACTTAGATCAGAGTTGGGTTCACTCCTTCTTAACATCATGTATTGCCAATTATATTGCTATATTGAAATTTCTTTCTTTTCTCTCCTTCCCCTTTCCTTCAGTTTCTTTCATGATTTCAACATGAAGACCTGGTTTTAAACTCAGTCCTTTTCTTTCCTGACTCTCCAAGGTCTCATTTCAACACCTGAGCATACGTTTTCTTTGTACATCAATCAATTTTGACATTTTTTTTGCCTGCTTATTTTGGTTTTTATTTTTATGTCTCTTAACAAGTGCAGATTCTGTAGCCAGAATTTTCCCAGGAGGTGTCTTTTAATTTCCTTCTTAGCCTTCAATTCCTTTGTAATTTCATGGTATGTTTCCTTCATAGCAATCCAAGAAGATGACATAAAACTGTCAAGAGCCATGAAAAATTCTAAAACTGTCAAGAGCCCTAAAATTCTAAAATTTATTTGCCACACATGCCTAAGATGGCTCAGCCAAAGATGGCTTCTGTATCTCTTTTAAAAATTTGGTTTCGGAGCCTACCTGGTGGCTCAGTGGGTTACAGTGCAGCACTGCAAGTGAGGGCAGCCACTTCAGTGTGTGTTCGATCCCTGCCTCCAGGTGACCCACATGGCATGGCCGAGCTCTCCTGACTCTCCTGCTGCTCCCCTCAGCAGTGTACTTCATTGATCTGCCTATTCTGATCCCTACTCTGTCTCTTGTGAATCCTCTCGCCATCCTTGCACCTCTGGCCTGTACCCCAAGTTCTGTATGCATAAATAAATAAGTCTTAATTAGTTTCAATTTCCTTCTATGATAACACCAAGGAAATTAAGCACAAACCAACAGTGTTCCCAGAGTCCATATGTGTTATCAGCCATAGACCTATTCCAGGGTTTAGTGGTGTATGTGTGTGTGTAGAGAGGGTGGAATAGGGATCTGAAAATCTGAAAATTTCCTGTTTTAATTGCGTGGGATTCTAATCAGTCTGTGCTGTCTGAGTGTCAGAAAAGTATCACTTGTAACCATCTAAGTCAATAACTGAGAAAAATGTTTTATCAGCAGGTTGATGGTGACCAACGGCCTATATTCAGTTAAGAACAATTATCCCTACCTGTAAACGATAGCCTCTTTGTTTTAGAGAAAATAATCTGAAATGATCATGCTCTTCAGCATAATTTTAAATTTCCACAGCAGCACTTCCTGTTCTACATCCTTTCTCCTCTTCTACATCTCTTTTCTCTCGGATGGCCTTTGTGCTCTGACTCCTCGCTTCTTTACTCTCTATGCTGACTTACATGAGGACATAGTCTAAAGGTTCTTATTAATATCAAACAAATCTTAAGACAAAATGTATTATTTGACTTCTCCTCCATTCCAGTTACCTTTTATTCCCTTTGACATTTTCTGTGTCCGCCAGGTCAGGGGATTTTTCTTACGTGCTGGGGTTTTCTTAGACTTCGTCCTCTATCCCCACATGTGTTCAAGTGGAAGAATCTTCTGCTGAGATAGCACAACTGGAAAGGCTTTGTTTTCATTTCAGCATGTGTCTACCATCTTGCCTTCCTGCCTCAGACTTGTCTTTGCTCAGTTTCAGCATGGTCTCTGCCTCCAGTGAACTCCATAGCCCTGACCCCAGCCACCACTTCCCCAGGAGAGTCCTTGTGCTCTCTCGTTCCTGTTTCTGTCCATTCATGAGTGAGCTTGACTCACTCTGCTGACATTCATGAAATTCACTACCAAAGGACTTTTGTGAAAGAGAATATTTTTTTGCAGCTTAGTTCTGCAGCTGTTGTGGAAAACAGCATGCCTTTTTTTCTTTTAGATCAAGATGTGGGCAATCTCTGCTAATTCACCTAGTTAATACTTAATGATGCCTTCCTGTAATGTTTCCTAACCCATTTCATTTATATATCCATATTATTCAGCTTCTACTATTTTTTTCTTTTTCCCAAAGATTAGCAGATTCACTAATTTTCTTCTGTTTAGGAAACACCTTAGTACACTGGTGATTTGTTTTTATGATATGAATATCAGTATAGAATTTTTCTGATATGATTATCCTTTTATCTTAATTTATTTTTATGAATCCTCTTCTAATAAATTCTAAAGATTTATTAAGGAAATGATTGCATACTTAGTTCTTTCTTCATTGTTAAACAATAACATAAATTGTGTTTGGTTTAACCCACTCATTATAAATGACTACAATTTGTATTTTTTCATGCATGACTATAAAAATGTATATATAAAATAAAAATATGCTATAGCAATTTTTCCCCATAAATAATTTATGTCCAATTATAATTTACCTCTCTCTCCCCCATATCTCTATGTATTTTGTTTGTTTTAATATACTACCAAGTATTCAGTACATTAGCAATCAAATAGACAGCACATTTTAAAGGATTATAAGGCTGGACTTTGGGTATTTGTTTTATTTAAAACCATTTGTTTTTTAAAATATTTATTTATTCATATGAAACTGGGTTACAGGTCAGAGATGTGGAGGGTGAGAGGATTCACCAGAGACAGAGTGGGGAGCAGAACAGGCAGATCGAAAAAGTACACTGCTGAGGGGAGTAGCGGGTGGGCCAGGAGTGGTCTGCCATACCATGTGGATCTACCCCCGGGCAGGCAGGAATCGAACTCATGCTGAAGTGGCTTTAGTTTGTTAGTGCTGTGCTTTAACCTGCTGCGCCATCAGGGAGGGCCCAAAACCATTTTTTTTTTTTTAACATTTCCACTTGCCTACTTACTTGAAAAACTGAGGCAACCTCACCTACGTGGTACATGATACTCAGAACCTGTCCTGATGGTATGCCATGCAAACTAAGTGTTCATATGGTAAAGCAAAGCAGAACTAAAAAGTATGGATATAAAAATTGCTGAGATTGGATTGTTATACAGAAAACCCAGTCATAATAATGCTAATCTGCAATTTTTAGGAGTAGCTGATGATGACTCAAGCAGTCTAAGAACTTTCTGTAAGTGACTGGGGTTGCTTATAAAACAGCAGATAAATAGCTTAGCTCATTTAGAAGGATAGCACACGTGGCCAGTGGTATGTGTATGAGGGAAATTTGGACCTCCATGTAGGTGTTTCAGTGCCACTGAACTCACACTGGTCACTCAACATCATGCAGTAGAGACTGAGTCCACGTATCATAGCCTCCAGTTGATGAACTCATTTAACTTCCTCTGCAGCGGTCAGATAAAAGCCATGATGAGATTATGGGCTTTGCCCTTATTTCTTTCTCCCAGAAAAGGAAATAAATACACGATGGTGAGACTAAGAGATGAAGAGATTGTAGACTAAGTTGAGGGCAACTTAGAGAGTCTAAGATATAGAGAGTCTAAGACTTGGAGAGTCTATATCTCTCTGGGTTTGAACGCTTTCAATTGTGAACTACAGGAATTGAA